CAGCTAGTGTACATATGAACACAACATGAACAGTTTGTGAACAATAGTTTATTCATTATGAACACATTCAGAAGCAAGCCAATGTTGAGATATGCAGCTAGTGTACATATGAACACAACATGAACATTTTGTAAACAATAGTTCATTCATTATGAACACATTTAGGAGCAAGCCAATGTTGAGATATGCAGCTAGTGTACATATGAACACAATATGAACACTTGTGAACAATTCTTTAACAATTACATATGAATTCGAATTCCGATTGTAGTTGTAGACGATTTTAACTTTTTCATTCTCATTCTTGTCGATCTGTTTTCCAATAGGTTTATCCATATTACTCGGACGATATCGAAATTTTTACAATCGGAAATTCTTTAACAATTACACAATCAATATCATTATTAATAGAATAAATCGAAATTACAAAACATGAACACGTATAAAAAAAATATCAATATTACATAATCATCAATTATTGAGATTTTTAGATATGTAACTCCCAATTAATGATTTGGGAGTTACATAAATGGCAAATTACTTAATTGCCCTTGTCATTAATATATGAGTTATATGTGAACCTAAAGAAAAGATGAAATATGATTGGTTGAGCTTGGTTAACAAAGTTAACACAAAAATCTTGGTTAGTATTTGAACAAACCTCTATATATATATATATGGAGGCATAATCATATGAAAACCTCAAAATAGTTTAAAACATGATAAAATAACAGGAATAGGATTCTAACCATCATGGATTTGATATCACCCATATTTCATAAAGTAACCACTCACATTCATCAATCAATAGTCACTTAATATGTGAGTCAAAATGGATGAGTTAATGGACCGAGTCAAAATGAGGAAGATGATCAAAATTGAGATGGAGAAATAGAAAAAACCTTACTTGATATGAAGAATAGAGATTCAGGAGAAGATGAGATGAAGGCAAGAAATAAATAATGAAGATAAACCTAACCGCATGGCCGGGGAAGATGGATTTGAATCATGAAACATCAAATATCAACTTTGAATAGTCATGTGAGAAGATGGATTCATATGAATCGTCACATTGGGAGCTTCAATCGTCACCTTAGGAATGATAGAAGCGGGCAGTTTTGAGAATAGAAACCTTGGTATGCGTATGAAAGCCGAAAGCGGATTCTAAAAGTCGCTTTGGGAATATAATTTGAGAGAGTGTTTTGTATAGCATTGGTAAGTTGTACATTAACCATAAAATGTTGCAATTAAGAGATACAAGATTAAACGCATAAAACAACGATATTTGATGCTTGAAAACTTGTTATTAAGACTTGTTAATTAAATTTGTTTTATAAGGTAGTATAGACTAGAAGTCTACTCACGAAATGAAGCGATTTATTTTGATAAAGAAGGTGAGACCTCGAACCCTAAATCCTATTCCATTCTTTATTCTATTATTTATCTATTTTGATTTTATATTATGGTTTTGTGGTTTTAAGAGAGTGGGAGAGGTTTTGATTAGTTTATCAAGTATATAACTTTCAGAAGAATTGTAATCTATTATTATTATTATTATTATTATTATTATTATTATTATTATTATTATTATTATTATTATTATTATTATTATT